TAATTGCTGTATTCGGTTGGCCTCTGAGCTTATACATCAACTGTCCATCTGACCCAAATAATCTTCCCCCTCATTAGCCAGCCATGATACAGAGAGCAAGAGAGAGGAGGGGAAGAAGGAGAGAGGCATTTAAGCTCCGATGGCAGAGGCCACGAGGAGGCAACGGAGCAAACAGGAAGCAGCAGGATCATTGCCACCTGAACAGAGTTAAAGACAATTCTGATTCAGAACATATTATCCAGGTTTTGCAAACTCTTTCCACTATAACCCGGGGGACAAACTCGCGGTATCACGTTGCCAACATTTTGCAATGTTTTTCCCCCCCTTTGCGGAGCTGGGATGGGTGTGGCCAATGCGTGCAGGGCCCTGCAGGCCGCCAGTTTGACCCCCCCTGCACCCACAATAATACATTTGCAGGAAACATGGCCTACAAGTAACAAATAACAGCTTCCTCCTATACTCCAGTCCTCTTCCATTGTATTAATGCACGTAGTAAGATTAACTGCATTGACCATATTTGTGTCAGGATCATACTGATTAATTTAATATTCTGATTGGAAGAGCAGCAAAGCTGTAATGGCTGTTACTTTCTCTGGCAAGCAGCTCAGGGAAGGTGATAATGAGATTAACATTTGGAAGACCTGATCCGCATTGTGCTGTGTTTAATTGTAACTTTGACACCACGTCATATTCATTACAGACTCGGCAGGGAGGACACTGTCTGTTACCTGTGGAAACTATCACATTAGTTTGTAATAGATACCATTTGCCGAGTCGTTATTTTTCAAGCGTACAACAAGTGTGACAAACTACTGTTAAACTCCATAGTTTTTAAATATGGTTTGGCTTCATAGAGTTCTGGCAGAATCCATAATCAAAGGCACACTCAGAAACAATTCTCATTCGTTAACTTCTTTTTAATGTATGGAAATGTCCCACGTGCATCCCATTCAAAGAAGCTTGCAAGACATACCTTAAAGAAAAGATAACATTCATGTACATGCTTCTTGACATAAAATGTTAAAAGATAAAGTGGACAGTGAACAAACCTGGTTATGGTTAACAGCAGGTACATTAAAGAAAGAAACAGAGTCACTAATCCTGGCTGCGCAAGAACAAGCTATCCGCACAAATGCCATTAAGGCNGCTTAGAGAGGGCTGAAAGCCCTATGAAGCGGTATATAAGTCTATTGCTATTGCTTATCTTTCTTTGAGATCTGCAATGAAATAATAAGTCATGCAGCTTCGTATAACAGACATATGTACCATGTTTTCTATTTATGCAGAATTTGCATTGTGGGATTGGGTTACAATATATATGTATACATAAACAAGTTTCAAAAATATGTGTGTTTGAAAACAAATTGATGTAGACACTTTTCATGTATATAAAACATGTATATAAAACCTCTTTATAGAAATTTTTTTGTTCTTCCACTTCACAGAACAAAAAGCCAGATCGCCAAATTACTTATACTATGCCAGCCCTTGCCTACTGGCACTGTTTCCATTCCAGTGCATTCCAATGTTTTAAAAACATTTTGAAGACAACCTTGAAATTTCCATTTGGGCCAAACTCAAAATAACGAAAACAAAAAGAATTGAACTCCTTCTCCACCCCAAGTTTCCAAAAATTTTCTGAAATAAGAAAAGAAAAATAACTCTTGCCTAGCTCTCAACTCTGCAAAAGGAAAATAAAATTAATTGGATGCACATGCCTACTCATCCATATGTTGTGTGTATTTGTTGTGGTTATACACAAAGAAATTTAGAGATACCTATGATGGGAAGCTGAAAGGGATCAAGCAATCCTTCCTCTTGAAAGACCAGGAGGTTGGGGGGGGGCACAAGGAGTGATAAGGCAGGTTATTTGAGGTTAAGAAACCAAATAAATTACAATCAAGTGAAAATTTGCTCAGATCTCAAACACAACCGAATTTGATGTGATTACAGAGGCCTGAAGCAGCTTTTAATCTTGTACAAAGTCCCACAATACCACTGATTTATCCAAATACCTGAATAAATATTTTGGAAGATCCTAGCATATTTAGAATATCTGGGTCAATTAAATGCCATTAATCTTATATGATGCCCATTTTGCATGACATACAAACATAAATGTGGTTTAAATATAACATTGCTACTAAATATTGCAACATAACCGTTAGACTGTCTGGAATAGTTTTTCTCCTTCAGAGACAAATATTTTGCTTAGTTTAGTGTGCCCAATTAAACAGATAAGTAATGACGTTCCAGAAAAGGAATGAATCAACTGTTTGGGAGATTTTATTTCCTCTTGCATCACTTGTCTTGGGAGACAGGATAAAGGAAGGAAGTTTTTGTTGGATGAGTTTGCCATTGTTTTAAAATATTTAAAGCCAGTCTATTTAATAGTGTAACAAAAGGGAATGTTTACCTTTCACTAATCTGCCCCTCTGGATTAGCTCTCAAACTAGAAAGAGATTATGGGTTTCTGTACTAAAGACTGTTGATCTATAGGATCTTTTCATTACAGTGGTTTTATTAAAAGAAGTTAATATCCCCAAGGGAAGCTATAACATGTACTATTATTTCAATAAAAATGCCTTTAAAACATCTTATGTTTTAATAACATTTATAACAGAATGACAAAAGATTGATGAAACCTGGGTTATTTAAAGAGGAAGGATGCAAGCTGATAAGATTATGAGATCTACCTTTTAATAGTTTAATTAATTATAAAAGTTCACCTAAAATGTCTTCTGCATTTTTAAAAGAGAGGATGGAATAACAGGAAACATAAGTACATGGACACTTTTACTATGTTTTTATGCTATAAACCACTGGCAAAAAATTGTATTGAATCTGGCAGTATCTAAGCACAACTAATCAATAAAAGAATAACATGGACTTAATATACAGTATTTTCATTTCATAAATTACTTTCTATTGTATGATTAATTTGATCATAAGTTCTTTTTTTCTCAAGAAGGCATAATAAGTAAGTTAATAACTTTAGTATCTAATAAGAGGAGCAGGAAAGTAATTTCTGAGTAATTTCTTTCCTCCATTGCAAATTCTTCACATGAACTTTTCTGGGTCCTATCATTATAACTAAGAGCCCCTCTTCCAATTTCCAGTTTGGCAATTCTTGTGTAGAGCAGGTGGGACACATGTTATATCCAGGATATATTGGTTTATACCTATTGTCTGTTTTCAATGTCTGGGGCTGCTGAGATATCCTTTGGAAATTCCAAAGCTTATAACTTTCATTTTGCAGTATATTTTGTAAGAGAGTCTTCTGGACAGAGAGTCTTCCAGCAGCCAGCCCACAACCATAGAGCGCGCTCCTAGAGCGGCCACTGCTGGAAGACTTGGCAGCCGAGTTTGGAATCGGAGAAGATGTTATGCTCGGAGCGCAGCGGCGGCTGCTGCAGGGAGAGCTGGGCCCGGACATGTTGAGGCTAGGAGGCATGCCTGCTGGGNCGTTTCAAAGCCGAAGAGCCAGTGCTGTCCGAAGAAGTTTCCATGGTCATGTGACCAGCATGACTAAATACCGAAGGGGCACGGAAAACTGTTACCTTCCCACCAAAGGTGGTCCCTATTTTTCTACTTGCGTTTTTACATGCTTTCGAACTGCTAGGTTGGCAGAAGCTGGGACAAGTAACGGGAGCTCACTCCATTTTGATCAACAAGCTCAGCGTCTTAGCCACTGAGTGTCAAAAATTGAGATTTTGATTGTGTGTGTGTGTGTGTCACTTTGCTGCCATCCAGTTTTTACCTGGATTTTTGCAGACCATATACTCTATTAAGAAATCCCAATTTAGTTCATTTTTTTCTGGGAATTTAAGGGCTGCAAATTCAGCACAGTTTCTGATGATTGGCAGTTTTTTTACTATTAAAACTATAGAAATTTACCTTCAAATAAAATATTAAACAGTGAATTCAGAGCAAAAGGAAAGACAGTTAAATTAAACATTGCAAATATTTGGAGAATAGTAAGAGTTATTTAACGATGGAACAGATGTCCAAAAGGTGTTTTTTCAGGTGGCAACTAGACTGCCTTGTCTTTTCTTTTTTCTCTTAAGAGGATTCTCTTCTCATCCAAGAACCTTCTTCAGCTCTGACAGGATAGTGGGGAATGGAAGGATTTATATTCCTTGCAGACAACTTGTAATTTGCATCCTTTTAGAGGTTGAAGCACTTGGAGGTTTATCTTTGTTCTCAGGGTCACCTGTGTAGTGCTCCTGGTTCCCGTAGCCTGCAATTTTTTCCTCACACTATTGAAAGGGTGTTCATCCCAAATTGTATAGTTAAAGGTCTGCAGAGATTTTCAGTCATCTAGGTCATGGTTGTCCGAAAGGTGCTTTTTCAGGAGGCAACTGGACTTTCTTGGGTTTGGTTTGGTTTGGTTTGTTGTTGTTTTTTTTTTGAAGACATTTCGCTTCTCATCTCATCTGAATATCATGGATGAGCAAAAGATCTTCAAAAAAAAGTGGGGGAGAGAAAGTCCAGTTGCCTCATGAAAAAGCACCTTTGGGACAACCATGACGTGGATGACTGAGAATATCTACAGAATGGAACAGATGGATCCCCTTCAACTGTAACCAGAGGTGGGTTCCTACCAGTTCGCACCTATTCGGTAGAACCGGTTCTTCAAATCTACCAAACCAGTTAGAAGAGGTTCTACCAGTGGACCTGGAAAGCAGGCCACACCTACAGAAGAGGTTCCAAAAATTTTTGAAACCCACCACTGGTGGGTGTGTAATGTCCNTAGTTCCTCAGACTCACCCGGCAACTGACAGGCGCGTCTGATTGGCTAAGACGCGCCTGGCTGCTGCCGAGCTGTCATTCGTAACAGCGAGGACTAACTTTTACTATACAACAGTCGTATTTTCGGGGAAACACGGTATCAAGTCACATTTCAGGAAACAGAATAGCCCTATCTGTTGAGATTGTCCTGCTCAATTGTTTTGTTTTGTTTCTTTTGGATTTTTTTTCTTTGTGTCTGATATGCTTCTTTAGATTTCAAAGTTTAAAGCTTAACTTGCTGACAATTTGGAACAATCTGATATGGCTATTGTGCTATTTCTGTAACATTATGTTAGCTTGAATATTAATATCGGATTGTTTGGGTTTGTTTCTTAAATCTTCAAAGAGTTTAAAACATCAAAGCTTTTACTAAATTCATACTTTTGCAGGGATAAATAACAGATGTGTCACCAATTTTCCCTTGCTTAAATGCCTTTATCATGATTGGCTCCTTCAGCTTGATACTTAGGATGAAACTGATAAAACTTGTCTTTTTCTACATGATACTGTTTTTCTTTCCTCAGGTTCAATGCAAGTGATGAATAAAACAAGGCGGATTATGGAACAGGGAGGTGCACACTTCATCAATGCATTTGTGACGACACCCATGTGCTGTCCATCCCGCTCTTCTATTCTTACAGGGAAATATGTCCACAATCACAACACCTACACCAACAATGAAAACTGCTCATCTCCATCCTGGCAAGCCCAGCATGAAATTCGTACATTTGCAGTATACCTCAATAACACAGGGTATAGGACAGGTAAGATCACTGCAAAAAGACCCATGTTTTAGTGCTAAGGTTGAAAATGTATGTATTATACTTGCCATATAATGCACATCTAATTTCACATATGTTAAACAAATACCACTCCCAAACTGTTGCCGTACCAATGTTTTATATTTCAGCTTCTAGAACTTGCATCAAGCCTAACATTTTGATCTACAGCAGTGGTACCCAACATGGGAACCCACAGGGGGGCAATTCGATTTTTAATAGGGGAAAATTTAACCTTGTTTAAACCAAGTTAATGGCTTTTAGGCTTCCTCTGCGTGAGTAGAGTTTACTTTTTGAGTAAAGTAAGAATTATATGTCACAGGGAGGGCATCAGGATTTTAAAGATGCTTAGATGGGGCATGGCCAAAAAAAGGTTGGGAACCACTGGTCTAGAGTAAGAGGGACCAAGGTTCATGTCTACCCTTAATCACCAAATGTAAGGTGACTGTGAACAGTTCACTCTTTCTCAATCCAATTCACCTCAAGAGGTTTTCATTGTGGGAGAAATTTGGAAGAGGAAGTAAATCACGATACGGATAAGAAAAGATAATGGAAGATGTCCTTAGTGTGAAATAAAAGGAAGCAGGCACAATTGGGCACAATTAAAGGTTTTGACTGGAAGACAGATCTACTCAAACCACCAGGAAGTTTTTCTGTTCAAATGAATGAAAATTATGCAAGGATCTAGTAATGCAGTTGCACAACTTCCATTAATTTTATACGTGTGACTGGGAAGGGCAAATTCCCAGGGTATTACATCTCATTTTCTGTAAGTATAGAAAAGGGTGGGATTTGAAATCTGTCATGGAAACCAAACAGGTTTTGGGACAGGTAGAATATGAGTATTCGATGAAAAAAAAAAGGAGGCCTAAGTCACAGCTATCCAAGAGTTTCATCCAATATATTTCACTGAGATTTGATTTAAAGGTGAGCAACGCTTAGACTTTGAACAGTCATATATTTCGTGTTTCTTTTAGCTCTTTGCCCTTGTTCTTTCAGCAGCAGGCCTGCAATCATCAGTGTTGAACTTTTGGTCCTGCAACTCGGGGTTCCCAATCTTTTAAGCCTATTTCCTACAGCAATTTGATTGCTCTCCAAATAGAGCTTGATTTTTTTTTTTAAAGCCAAGATAGCTATCCATATCCATCCTGCCAGGCTTTTGTTCCTTTTTTGTTATGGTCTATTTATTGACTGCAATGTACCACTTACTCCACTTTTATCATTGACAAATTTTATATTAGTCATGTACTTTGACTTCTGTATTGCTGACCTATTGCTACTGTTCCTGCTGCATACATCATCAGAGATTTGATAATTCAGCCTTTTTACTGGAGGGTGGTGGGGAGAGGAGAAAGAGTTGATCCAGAAAAGAAAGTTAAAAGGGCAAGCAGGCTTCTCTTCTCTTGCTACCTACAGTATGCTGATTGGGTATTTATTTCTGATTTGCAAAGATGCCCAGTTGCATCTTGCTTGGCTCTTAATGTTAAATCACTTTAACATTAACTGTACAACATCTCATTGGCCTTTTTGTTTTGTTTTGTTTAGCTTTTCCTTAAAGATAGTGCTCAGGACCCCAATCCAGCTTGTGATCATAGGTAGCCAGAATAATGATAATTTTACTTCTCCTCGGCCACTTCTTCTGAAATAAACATCACAACTATCCATGCATTGATTTGAAAGGTGTTTTTTTACATCTATTTAAACCCTAAGAGACAAAGACATACAGAAGGTGGTGGCCGAAGAGAAAGTCTGAGAATTTAGGCTACAAACAGGCATATTTTATCTTTAAGAAGTAATAAGAAGATAGCCACGTATTATACCGTTAAAGTAGAATGCAGGCCTATAGTAAGCTGCCAAGAAATGAGCCGGCAGAGAGACTAGCATTTCTACACTTATTAAAAGCAGGCATAAGCATTTAGTTCTCTTGAATGCTGTTAGGCAAAGGAAAAGGCCAGTTGAGAGATGCTAAAATAGGTGGCCCTTTTCCTATCATTTACAATCCTAGGATCAACTTATCCAGGATGCAAAAAACCTGAATATCTATTAAAGGTAAAGATTCCCCTCGCACATATGTGCTAGTTCTTCCCAACTCTAGGGGGCGATGCTCATCTGCGTTTCAAAGCCGAAGAGCCAGTGCTGTCCGAAGAAGTTTCCATGGTCATGTGACCAGCATGACTAAATACCGAAGGGGCACGGAAAACTGTTACCTTCCCACCAAAGGTGGTCCCTATTTTTCTACTTGCGTTTTTACATGCTTTCGAACTGCTAGGTTGGCAGAAGCTGGGACAAGTAACGGGAGCTCACTCCATTTTGATCAACAAGCTCA